CCTATATACGTGAATAACATGTTTACGTCAATGTCTACTGAAAATACAAACACTGATTAATCAAATGTGAAAAGAGCGATTATCCAAGTTTAAATGTAGCTCAAAATAGATTGATGGATCTTGTGGGAAAACCTCCAAGCCTGTGACTTTTACTGATTATGTACACATCCTTTACAGTAACTATAGAGACTATTTGATGAATGATAATTGCATTTGAAGCGATTAATCATCATAGCAAGACAACTATACCTGCTAAGTCTTTATCACCATGCCTTTTACTCAATATTGTTAAAGCGTTGACAGGTGTGCCAGATTAAGTATATTAAAAACATTTACACTATATATAATCAGAATATCATTTTTAATAGTACTAATATTTTTATAGTAATAATTAATAATAATAATACTGTTAGTTAATAATACTTTTATACAAAATAATTTATCAAATTTATCACACCAAAATCTGGATATTTTAGACATACAACACAGGCTATAAATTTGGTAGGATGCTACTGGAACAGGATAAAAATAGATTAATATTAGTAGAAAACGTTGCACACATATTAAATACATATCAAATGATCAAGGGACATATAGAATGTACAAATAGTAAAGTAATTAACAGTGCTATAAATAGATCAGGGGAGTTAATTTCTATGCAATTAAATAAAAGACAATCTTGATATTTTTGTAATTTTTCTCACAAGTAATTATTAAATTGACTACATTTAAGAATAAAGGTCAGGGGACAGAAAAATAAGTGTCAACAATAATACAGTTTTTATACAGGAAAAATTGAAAACATCAAGAGAAATCTGTGGAAGTGACTCATTAACAGAGGTACCCTAGCACCAATTCTCATGTTTATTTATGCCATGTTCTCTGTACGATGAACATCAGTCAGTGAGGGAATCCTGAACATCAGTCAGTGAGAATCCTGAACATCAGTCAGTGAGAATCCTGAACATCAGTCAGTGAGAATCCTGAACATCAGTCAGTGAGAATCCTTGAATCTCAGTCAGCGAGAATCCTTGAACATCAGTCAGTGAGAATCCTTGAATATCAGTCAATGAGAATCAGTCAGTGAGAATCCCTGAACATCAGTCAGTGAGAATCCCTGAACATCAGTCAGTGAGAATCCTGAACATCAGTCAGTCAGAATCAGTCAGTGAGAATCCTTGAATCTCAGTCAGCGAGAATCCTTGAACATCAGTCAATGAGAATCAGTCAGTGAGAATCACTGAACATCAGTCAGTGAGAATCCCTGAACATCAGTCAGTGAGAATCCTTGAATATCAGTCAGTCAGAATCAGTCAGTCAGAATCCTTGAACATCAGTCAGTGAGAATCCTTGAATATTAGTCAATGTGAATCCCTGAACATCAGTCAGTCAGAATCAGTCAGAGAGAATCCTTGAATATCAGAGAGAATTCTTGAACATCAGTCAGTCAAAATCCTTGAATATCAGTCATTAAGAATCCCTGAATATCAGTCATTGAGAATCCCGGAATATCAGTCAGTCAGAATCAGTCAGTCAGAATCCTTGAATATCAGTCAATGAGAATCCCTGAACATCAGTCAGTGAGAATCCTAGAACATCAGTCAGTCAGAATCAGTCAATGAGAATCCTGATCATCAGTCAGTCAGAATCAGTCAGTCAGAATCCCTGAACATCAGTCAGTCAGAATCAGTCAGAGAGAATCCTTGAATATCAGAGAGAATACTTGAACATCAATCAGTGAGAATCCCTGAACATCCGTCAGACAGAATCAGTCAGAGAGAATCCTTGAATATCAGAGAGAATTCTTGAGAAATCCTTGAATATCAGCGAGTCAGAATCCCTGAACATCAGTCAGTGAGAATCCTTGAATATCAGTCAATCAGAATGCTTGAATATCAATCAGTCAGAATCCCTGAACATCATTCAGTCAGTCAGTCAGTCAGTCAGTCAGTCAGAATCCTTGAATATCTGACAGTCAGAATCCTTGAATATCAGTCAGTCAGAATCCCTGAACATCAGTTAGTCAGAATCATGCAGTGAGAATCCTTGAACATCAGTCAGTGAGAATCCTTCAATATCATTGAGGCAGAATCCCTGAACATCAGTTAGTCAAAATCAGTCAGTCAGAATCCTTGAATATCTGTCAGTCAGAATCCTTGAATACTTGAATATCAGTCAGTCAGAATCCTTGAACATCAGTCAGTCAGAATCATGCAGTCAGTGAGAATACTTAAACATCAGTCGATCAGATTACTTGAATATCGAATCCATGAATATTAGTCAGGCAGAATCCTTGAATATCAGTCTGACAGTCAGAAACAGTCAGTGAGAATCCTTGAACATCAGTCTGACAGTCAGAATCAGTCAGTTAGAATCCTTGAATATCAGTCAGTGAGAATCCTTGAATATCAGTCAGTGAGAAACAGTCAGTGAGAATATTTGAACATCAGTCAGTCAAAATCCTTGAATATCGAATTCATGAATATCAGTCAGGCAGAATCCTTGAATATCAGTCAGTCAGAAACAATCAGTGAGAATCCTTGAATATCGAATCCATGAATATCAAATCCTTGAACATGCAAAATGTACTGAGTTCATGTGTTAGCGATAAATTCCCATAATGTTTCTCAAGAGAATTACCTGGCAATTTGCTGCCAATTAAGCTACATGTATGTACGATTTTGAACTGAATGAAAGTCACATCAGTAATCCTGACAATTTGCCACGTAGAAGTTTGAGGTCAAATAGTTTTAACTGACAAAATCATTTGCATGTTTCACTAATAGTGAGGTATTTTGTTCTCTCTCCAGATAGTTTGAGTCAAATTCAAAATTATTCCCACTGAGTCTGCTACCTCACAAATGTGAGTGCATTATGGGAGACTAATTGCAATTGGAAAACTCATAAATTTAAATGTCATTTTTTTATAAATGTTTTCAGGATTCATATCAATAATTATGAAAGAAAATTACAACTGCAACATGAAAAATATATTAAATAAACTGATTTATTATATGATGATAGCAGAATTTTTTAAATATGAAACAAATTCATTTCAATAGCAATTTTGTTTTTGTGGTACTTTTATGATTCTTTCATTGGGAAAGCTTTGGCCTATGTACTGTACAGGCTGATGCAAAGATTGAAGCTGTTGCCGCTTTAGACTTGAATGTGATTTCAGTTGATAATCCGACATTATGGCATAATGACTCTGCACTTGTTTGTGACCCGATAATGCTGCAGATGTGTAGGTGATACACCGAATTTTTTGAACCACACATACATTGCCGATGATGTGTAGTTTATCGTGAAGTAGAAAGGACTGTCACCAACAACACCTAGACTAACACATTCAATATCTAATTTGCATATCAAATAACTGACATATTGTCATTGAGAATGTAATAATTTGTCAAGAGAAAGTAACCTCTTTAGAAATCCAGAAAAGTAATAACTTACATATTAATCTTTAAAAACACAAGAAGATATGATTGTATGACATCTACACTATAGTGGGTAAGACAACCTACATGTATATGGTTAATGAAAAATAACTCACCTTTACCATTGCATGAACATAACTTTCAGGTCCTGTAAATTCAGTAGGATCTTTAACTTTAACAAGTACAATAAAATATAAATAATGCCACATATTATGCTCCTCTTTAATGTGTTCTTCAAAAGTAACTGTTTTATTATCAAATGCCGCTCGATCCAAACCTGAAATAATGAAAGTAAAAATATAACCTCATACATGTATATGTGTAATAATGAGATTGTAGTACAGGACAAAAACTGCGAGTGTTCAATCAACTTTCATAAGGGTGCAACATGTTTTGATTGCTTTAAATTTGCTTCCATGTACTTTGTAACAGTTACAAATATAATACTTACTGCAAATAAAACATGTATTTTTTAAAATTT